TTGAATTTAATTGTATTCTATTTGATTTTATTTATCTTCTTTAAGTCTCTTTAAATAATATTTTTCTATGTAGACGACGCTGTAGAATACAAACACCGTCGCATGTGGATGACGTGAGACCGGCGCCTCCTTGTGTAAGCATCCAACATGGCGGCGCCCTGCAGAGGTCCGCTGCTGCTCCGTGTTTCCTTCAGAAGATTCTTCGGAGTTTCAGCTTCAGCTCGAAGTTTCAGCGAAGACAGAAAAACCCACTTCGGCTTCGAGACGGTTCCGGAGGAGGAGAAAGCGAAGCGAGGCGAGTAACAAGCTCGATAGACACGTTAACGAACCTCATTCAGAAATCCTCAAATTTAACATTTCGATGCCTCTCGGAGAATCCACACACACCCAGAGACGAGGTGTGAAGTGTTTGTGGGGATCTGGAGGATTTGTTGGATAATTCGGCGCAAAAGTTCAACTATGATTGTGACGCTTCAGTTTTGTAAAACCTCTATGAACGTTAAATATTCGCTCTCTTCCGCGTTGTAACGTGTGGGCTACTTCACTGGGAATTATACTAAATGTACTTGTGTTCAGGCGTATTTGATGAATGCCGAATTTAAAAGTATGAGGCAATAATATATTCTACGATTCGAATCGTGTTTTACCAGCAAGGTTGTTGTCACCAGGTTGTCGAGGGAGAATAATTTGCCATATTTTGAATGGAGTATGTGAGAGGAGAAAACATGACGTGTTTAAATAAACGAGATATGTATTCTACACATTCATTGTTTTCTAATCAGACTGCTGCTGTTTTATTTTCAGGTAAATGTCATTATATAAGTTACACAGACATTAAACCAGTTAAAATTGTTTCACCAACTAAATTTGAAAAAATGCAACATGCACCAAACTCCTGATCCTGTTTCTGCTTGTTCACCAACGTTCATGTTCTTGCATCTGAAGACAGTTTGACCAAAGTTTATTAATCAACTTCAAAAAAAATAAAAAACTGAAAAAACTATAATTATAACGTCCTTGTTACGTTTCTCTTTTAGCAGAAACAATAACGCTGACAGCCGACAAAGAAAGAACTCAGAGCGGACGTGAGGCAGTCAAAGAAAAAAAGCTTTATTTACAATATTTAAATCAAGTAAACAACAAACGTAGGTTTGAAACATGTGGGAGAAGGAGGAACTCTTATCTACAGAAGTGTCTGAAAATAATCAAAGTACAACAGTGGCAACAACCCATAACCTGGTGTTGTAACAATTTCTTCCTAAGTGCGTGAATGTAAATGTTACCTCAGCCTTACCTCAGTTCTACCTCCCCGCCACAAACCTTCTTTGACAGCAAAGCAACATCGGGGCAGAACAAAGCAAATGAGAGGGAGGAGAGAGAGAGAGACGTAACAGTCCTCCAGTAGCATGAATACCTCCGCCAAGGCCCCACAGTTCCCTTAAATTAAATCAAGCTGCACCAAATTTCACACACTCATAGATGTCAGTCCCTTAAAGGTTCAGTGTGTAGAATCTGGTGTTGAAATTTCATGTTGCGGCTGAACACCCCTCACCTCACCCTCTCCGTCCAAACATGAAAAAGAACCTGTGGCAGCTTCAGTTGTCATAAAAACTCAACAGGTGTTTAGTTTGTCCAGTCTGGACTAATGTCAAAAACATGGCGGCCTCCGTAGAGAGGGTCCCCTCCATGTAAATATAATGTATTCAAATATAAAGAGTATTTTCTGGTGTAATGAAAACATCATGAGGATTATTCTACATTGAATTATCTGCAGTAGTTCCCTGTCACCTAAATCTTAAACACTGGATCTTTAAATACACAATTTTTCTTTCATCAAGATCCATGAATTATTCCCTTTGAAAATTGTGATCTGCACCAATATTTACTGAGTTCTTCCCTGAAGTTTGAATCCACTCTGTAGTTTTTGTGTAATCTTGCTAAAACATAATCAGTAAACCAATAATAGGACAGAAAAACTGCAGAACGAATTCATCCGGACACGAAACTTCAGTGCATTAAATATTAGTATCTTTAAATCGAGTCCATGTAGCAGAGCAAAAAAAGAAAAACACGTCTTAAAGGTCTTAACAGTGACACAGCTCTCCTCCTTCTCTTTGCTGCTGCAGTGTATAAGGTGTTTGAGAATGTGGCTCAGAAGTACGACGTCATGAACGATGCGATGAGTCTCGGGATTCATCGTCTCTGGAAGGACGCGCTGCTGCACGTCATGCACCCACAGCCCGGTGCGCGCCTCCTGGATGTGGCGGGCGGAACAGGTGACGCGTCCAGAAAACACACCTGAAAATCCACTCCGGTGTCGCACTCCATGTCACGCGTGTTGTCTGTGGTTCTCTTGCTCTGCAGGCGACATCGCCTTCCGTTTCCTGGAGTACGTTCGATCTCAGCAGGAGCGGCGAGAGCGGCGTGCAGCTCGGTCCATGCAGACGCAGTCGTGGCAGGACATTTCCAGCAACTACGGCACCGAGGACAAGGACGGGTCCCCGGAGTCCAGCGCGGTGGTCTGTGACATCAACAAGGAGATGCTGAAAGTGGGCAAGCAGAAAGCTGACAGCACGGGAACCAGCGCTGGTAAGTTTCAGCCTCAAGAGTCGTCCGATCCTTTTTCCTTTCAACCGTCAGGTTTTTGAGATCTTTGAAAAGACGACTCCAGTTTTTTGTTTCTGATCGAATCTCTGCTTGTGTGTGTGTGTGTGGATGTGAATCAGGGCTGTCGTGGGTGGTGGGGGATGCGGAGGAGCTTCCCTTTGACGACGACCAGTTTGACATTTACACCATCGCCTTTGGCATCCGCAACGTCACTCACATAGATCAGGTAAGTGACCGGAGGAATGACGTCGATAAAGACGCTGATACTGAAGCTCAGTGTGTGAATAATTCAGATAAAACATCATCACCACCAAAACTCAGCATCGGTCTCTAGTTATGAGGACGTGCACTTAAAGCTTTATCTTTAGGTGCATACGCTGAGTTCTACAAATTATCCACGTTGTTAAATAAAGAAGTGATTTTATAAATGTTGTTGATGCTTGATTCTACATTGATGGAATCTTCTACCGTTTGAAAAATCATTAAAGCTCTAATTCTTCTGTTCAGGCACTTCAGGAGGCTCTGCGGGTCCTCAAGCCCGGCGGCAGGTTCATGTGTTTGGAATTCAGCAAAGTGACGAATCCTGTGCTGGCGAGGTGAGGACGTCAACTCAGGACGTACATAATTATCAACGCTGTGACTCCGTTCAGTCTCTTTAGTTTTATTGCTGCCATCACGTGAATCCAGAATCACATAGAAACACAGAGGTGGAGCTCTGACGAGGCCTGTCTCTGTGAGGACAATAAAAATCATCATTGGGGACAGTTAGAGATAAATATTTATATATTTAATGTCGTTAAAAGGTTATTTTTGGTTTCTTATGACATTCTGGACAAATTAGAACATGATGAACCGTCACAGTTCAGGTAATTAATGGGAAACGCTGTGTTTTTATTGGTTGAAATAAGTGTCACATCCTGAAAAGAGCCTCATTAATTATTTCTTCCTCGGCTTTAGTAAAGATATTTACACTCAGTTGTCAGTTTATTAGGTACACCCTCTGCAACTATAACTAACGCAGTTATAAATAACTTTTCATTAAGGAATGTTTTTTGTTAAAACATCTTTAGAGAATTGTTTTTTCGGAGGCTCAGTGTGTTTGTGTTAATCTTTGGTGTCGCCTGCTTCTTGTGGACGAACACTGCCCTCCACTGGTTTTATAAAATATAGGAACGTGGTTTGTCAGATGTGATCTTCAGACACTTTGTTGTTTAGGTTTTGCAGATATGAAACTGCCACATGGTTTTAAACACCAAAACAGTAATTCCTAAATATCTAAGAGAGATTTATTCACACATGCAGTTTGAAAGTTATACGTGTATAAACATGTATGGGATATATTAAAGATCAACCAGTAACCTGTGTCTCGTTCTGTTTTTTCAGGCTTTATGACGCGTACAGTTTCCAGATGATCCCAGTTCTGGGAGAAGTGATCGCTGGAGACTGGAAGTCGTATCAGTATCTGGTGGAAAGTATCCGCAAGTTCCCTGATCAGGTGAGAAAAACCATCCTCTCAATATCTGTCTTTCCCATCTCTGATGTTGAAAGATATCTTAATAAACACGCAGGATCTTTATGCAGCTAATAATTGTTTTAATTATGTATTAATTGGATTTGCTCAGTCTATAAAATGTGAACATTTCCATTAAAAATCCGTTCGATTTTTATTTTGTCTATAAAAATCTGGAATCAGAAGTTTAACTTTTTAAATGATCCATCACTAATCAGAACATCTGCTGATTTATTTTCTGTCGACTCGTTCTTTGAATAATATTCGTCATTGTCTAATCAAAGTTTTATTCAGTTCAAGTTCATTTAGATTCTTTGAAACCGATCTGTGTGCAGTGGTGTCACTCAGGAGCTTGTGAGTCACTTGATGTTCTTCTCCTGCAGGAGGAGTTCAAACGTATGATTGAAGACACAGGATTCTACTGCGCTCAGTACCACAACTTAACTGGTGGAGTTGTCGCTCTTCACTCTGGCTTCAAGCTGTGAGATGCCCGAAAAACTCCTCTGGAAAAAAAACATTAAAGCAAAAGACGCTCTTTGATTCAGGCTTTTTCTGCCTGTGTGATAAACTCTCAGCAGAGTTCATGGACAGAACGTTCACGCAGGACGATCGTCTCTGCAGAAGCCACCGTGCAAATGACAGAAATCAGAGGTCAGTGGACGTATTTATTATGTTTTTGTTTGTGAAGCTGTAGATATTAGTTCGACTCCTGGCAGAGAAAAAAACAAATGTCCCAGTGGGTTAAACCATTTGACAACAAATGGGTTTGAATATTTTTTGTAACATCTTCATTTTCACTGTGGAAAATAAAACCTGCAAAATCGTATCTGCGTGTTTGAATCAGTATTTCCTCCGGCGAGGATGTTTTTATCTTTTAGTTAATTAC